TGGTAGAAAAAAATAACAGGTGGGAGACTAAAGCTATCTATAAACTTTTGACTACAACATACTTGCATGAGCCAGCTTTAAACAAACTAGTTAAAGCCACCTTGAACATTTCAACACTCTTCTTACTGTTTCCCTTACAATTTGCACTGGTGGGAAGATGATATGGACTGAAATGGGGAAGACTATAAGACTTCTGGCTCTCAGTCAGGAGAGGAAGAACAACTTGCTTAGCTACATGTGGCTGTATTTAGAACTGAAAAGGAAATTGCCTGATACTCTTACACTTTGTGCTTAAGCATGAACTAGGTTTTGAGTTGGTCCTGCATAAGCAGGATTTATATTTAATGGGGAAAATACCCTTATACTTGCTATCAAAAGTTGTCTTTCATGCTACATGGACTTGGCTTAGTCCAATATGATCCTCTTCCCAAAGGGCTATCTGAATAAAGCAAAACTGCTGTTCTGCATATTACAATCTCATTCCCTTTAATGCAGCAGTTGGGGGTCTCAACACATGTTTCTAGCCATCCCTTGCCTTCTCTGTTGGTTGTTCTCAACACAAATTTCAGTTTATTGGGATTATAAACTGCTACAGAAGAGGGAGTTTAGCTAATTTAAGAACTTCCTGTATTACTTGGTGGTACAGCATTAGTAAATATAGGTGTGTAGAACTCAAATATGCAGTTTTTAAAGTCAGGCAAGAAATGGTCAGGGACCACACAAGCATCTTAAAATCTTAAGGAACAAAGCTAGTCTGTCGGCAGTGAGACTACTGCCAGTGCCATAAGTCTAGAAAGCAGCTGGTGGAAGGTGGGGGAAGATTTTAAGGGTCAAAGGACATTACTGTGAGCACAATCCCTCTGTGTTTATGTGCAGCACACTGGCCCTTCAGTGAGTTTTTTATAAACGCTAAAAAATATATTTTATCTGCCAAAGCTAAAGTTAAACTCCATTCTTTGGGAACGTAGGAGGTGTAACTTCTGAACTTGGTAAGAACTTAAGTGTTCTGTAGTAAAAGAATGCTTACCTTGCTTAAGATGCACTACATGGCTGAAGTTTATATAGCTTGTGTTCAGACTGGCTTTTGAAGGGCAAAAATGACATGCGTGGTTCTGAAAAAATGTTGCATGACTGCTGGAGCTGTTGTTCAGTATTGGTGCTACTAGTTATTGAAGCTGGTAACAGGCAGAGAATCGTTTGCTGCTTATAAATAAGAATAATCAGTAATCGGACAACTCTCTGGACACAGCTGTGAATCATCTGTAATTTGACTTCCGAGCACTGGTAACTGAACTATACCTGATGCTCTGAATTACTCCTTATTAATTCAGATATTTAGCATCTTAGTAACTGCATAGAAAAGTGTGGTCTTTCCTATGCAGTAGTAACTTTTTGGTTACTTTAAACCTTCAAAGGAGTGCATTTTTTAAGGAGATCTACTTAACATTACTTCAGTTTGTCTTGCCTAGGGTCTATCCTGCTTGTGATGTCACCCTGAAATGGTCATTTTAGTAAATGGACCTCAAGCACATCTGTGTAGTAGTAAGAATGAGCCAGCATTAACATAATTAAAGCTTCTGGAAGTAAAACAATGCTCAAAGTTAGAAACTTTGAGTTTCACTACTAAAGTTTCAGTAAAAGCAATTCTCAGCACAGCTATTTATCTTGCTAAACAACTTTAATTGCTGTGGAAGCACTTCTACAGCAAGTGAGTAACAAGGATTTTTTTTTCCATTAAACTATTCTTTCTATACTAAGATGTAGACAGTCCTGAAAGGTCAAAGGTATAGCTACTCTTAAACTCAATTTAAAGTGGTAGAGCAGGACTGATACTGAACTTATCTTTAAACTATCTGTATCACTTTATTTGTAAAGTTGACTATGTTAAAGTTGTTGCTGGTTCATTCAATCTGGTTAAGACAGCAGTGACAAGTGCTTATAATTGTAACTTTAAGAATTACAGAGGCATCAGGGCATTGGATGCCTGTAATGTAGCTTGTAACAATACAAGTACTTATTGTGAACAGTGCTAAATATAACAGTGAAAACCATTGGCCTCTTATCACAAAGGAGATTATAATTCACTTCATTACATATTGTTGGATCAGAGCTAATATAACCCTTTACATTTAAAAGCTTGCATTCTCTTATTTACAATGGCAACCCTGCTATGCTACTAACTTAGCTCTTGAGAAGTCCACTCTGTAACGCTGTCAGCATCTAAATTTGGACTGTCCAGGTGGCAGTAGGCCATCCAGGGGGCTGCACCAGGGTGAGCCAGAGGCATACCCCCTACCCCCAAAGCCATATGAATGCAAAGGCCCCCCTCCCTTGCACTGTTGCATTGCACACATACTCTCCTCACCAATGCCCTGCCCTGCCTCCTGAGGGAGGGGGTGTGCAACCAAAACCAGAGTTGGGGGGTGAGGGGGCGGGAGCCTGCAGGCCACCAGTTGGACAGCCCTGATCTAAATCAATTAAATGTCTCGAGTCTACTGTAAAAGTAAAACATCTAATGTGGATAAAATGTGAACACTTCAGTGGCTTATTACTTTAGCTTTGGAGTCAGACTCCTTTCTGGCAAGCCTGCAGTTTAAAAAAAAAAAAAAAAAGCCTTAAATATGCAGCTAACTACCAAAAGTTTGGTCAGGTGGTTTCCAACTTTTTTGGACTCAAGACATCTCTATAGCTTCTGTGAATTGAGTAGTATTTAATCTCAAAAAAACTAACTTTTATATTACAGTGCTTACCTCCTTGCAGGCTAGGCAGTATAGCTGGGGAATTATTCAAGCAGGGGCAAGCTTGAGCCTGTGCTTCCCTGCTTAAATTACCTACTTATCCCCTCATACCTCATGGCTCCTTTCAAAGGGTCTGGCAGTACCCAGGGGGGCCCTGGCACCTTGGTTGAGAATCATGGTTCTAGGGTTTCTTTTGGTTGAGGAAATTTTGGTTAATAATGAAAAAACTCATATTTTTAGGTCCAAATTGCAAAAAAAGATAAACAAGTAGGATTTTTCTCCATACAACATGGACTATGCTTCCTACTCAAATCTAGGACTATCTATTAACTAGCCCATTATTCTAGTTGGGTAATAGATGGCAAGTTTCAACTTCTAGTTTGATATGTTGCTCTCCGCAACTGACTGAACCATAATAAATAACTTAATTACTCTTTAGATGATAATGCAGCTATTTACCTAAGATAGTACTATAGTTTTCAAATAACTAGCCAGAAATGCTGTGGTAGATTTAACTTGAACCATTATGAATACTAGCATAATTTCTCTCTTCCAGATCAGTCTTTTGTAACCCTAGCTACAAATGATTCCTATGTGAAAGGAGCACTGGTATTAGGTTCATCTCTACAACACTACAGAACAACAAAGAAGTTAACTGTGCTTGTAACGCCCCAAGTTTCAGATCCAGTGAGGTAGGTCATTTCAATATTTTTACGTTCTTGTGAAAACTGCTTGAATTTGGAGTTGAAACTGCTCACCGGCTTTGGAAGTTTGGATTAACACAAAACACTTGGGGCAGTAGATGCCAACTGGGGCTCCTTGAAATTCTAAGCTTCCTGCTTTAGTTGGAAAACTAAACCATCTCAAGGAAGACTGTCACTGACGTGCACTCTAAGGCCCCTGCTACACGTTACATATATTATGCAATTAACTGGTTAATTGTGCAGTACATTTAGACTGGCCACATGTGCAAAGTAATTATCACAATAAAAATGATTATCCATCTATAAAAAGGCCAACTAGCTATAAAGTTAGTACTTGAAAATACATAACCACGCTATAGTTGGTTTCTATCCAGCTTTAATTTGAATGTATAGCAGGTTCCTCAGTAGCCATCTAAGAGCGATGTTGAATTGGTTCTGGCAATATGATATGTGCTGATCAGAAGCAAGCGGGTAGTCCTGGGTCAGCAGTATTCCACACAGGCAGTAAAATCCCTTGATGCCTACCCTGTCAAATAAGGAAGTGAAATGCAATGAGATGATGGTCCAGAAGCTCAACACCACTAACCTGGTACTTGGGAGACCCAGGTCAAATATCCTGCTTCTGTTGACTTTTTGTGACACTTGTTAAGTGTCACTTTCAGAGATGAATTCCAAAGGTATGTACAATCCCCTTATCCAGCCAATAGAGAAAATAGCTTCCAAATAACACCTATGTGCTAAGTGGGTGGCATTTTACATTGAGCTACTCAGTGTAGGGGTCTGAAGCCAAGCACCACACCCATGGCAACTTACCATCTTAGGTGGGGAGGTGGTATAACCTTATAGCAGGGATGAGAACCAGGCTCCTCCTTCCCTGGGCTGAAGCATGAAGCCTCTTTCTCCTATGGGCTCCATTAATCTCGTATTCTTGGATACCCATTATCTTTCATCCACCAAGAGGGATAAGGTCCCCCACCCAAACTATTCTCGCCTGGTGGTAGAACACTCTCTGGGACACCAGAAAATTGAGTTGCCTCAGGTTAAGAGTCCATGAACCAGGTTTCCCACTTCCTGTGCAACACCTTTAGCCAAAAAGCTGTGGAAAAAGTTGTGTGAGAGGCAGCTGTACTATGAAATTATCAATCGGGTGTGCTGTGTGGGTGCTTAACTAAGGCTCTCAGACTTCAGGGATTCCTGATCTGATTCTGAGTCTCACCAGAGCTGAGATGACAGCTGGGTGCTTGATCTAGATTTGCTTCCATACAGGCCCAAGCCTAGGTCTAGCTGCTTTAGTAGTTACATGGCTGGATCACCTCAAATCTGCCAAAGTCCTGAGAATGACTTGGATCTGGGCCTGAGCCCTATCCATACAGTAGAGTATTACAACAGAGTATTTACTCTCTAACACAGGATGTCATGACATTACCATGTTAGAACACCCCACAGCATAAGTCCATATAGAAGTAGCTGAACTCCACCAACTGCCTGTGACCTCTGAAAGACCAGCATTAGAAACTGTCATGGAGACAAAAACAAATGGTTGCTTAGTGCTACAACCTGCATAGTTTATGTACTAAATAAACCCAGTTTATTCCACTCTAATTCATCAAATGCTTGTCATAAAAACTGAACTCCTGAGAATCTCTTCTTAGAAGAAGTGGCCCACAAAGTCTTAACTTTTGTATAGATTGAACAGCATACTTTAGGCCATGTCTCCTATTTCACTTCAGAATAGAGCATAAGAAAGCAACTGGACTAGTAATGCCACATGTTGCTGTCCAATACATAGCGCAGTACTTGACCAGAAGCTGTCACCTGGTCAGATAGCTGCATACCCTAACAAGAAACATCAAGTCAGCTGCTCAAGACCAAATGGAATACTTGTATCTAGTAGCCAAAAGCACTCACTCGTTAGATTAACAGCATTCTGTTTTAAGAGAATCTACTCCAGCCTGTTAAACTAGTGCCCTCTCTTGGAAGGCAGAAATGAAGGCATAAATAACATCATAAAATGAATTTTGCATAGGTAGTTGTAAGAGTGGAACTTGCATCAATCTTTCTCCAGTTGCAACACAATTAGGCTCAACAATAATCATACCATAATAAAAATAACAATTGGTTATCAAGGATCAATTTTGTAGCCGTGTTGGTCTGAGGAAGATACACAAAGTTCTTGGGTCAGAGGTGATATCTTTTATTAGACCAACTAAATAATAGCAAAAAACGTCCTTTCTTTGCAAGCTTTTAGGCACATATACCCTTCATCAGGCTGCGGAGAATTCAAAGATTGTAAAAGTATCCCAGGTAGAAAATAGTTGGTTACCAATTAACCCCCAAAGGGAAATAAGTGTATTAAATTCTAAACTTGGCTAATCAAAATGGTTCTTAGCATGTACTACTACACAACCTGATTCTCTGATAAGCTGTTCATGCTCAAGATGCCGTAGGTGGCTGGCTCAGCCTAGAGCACCAGTACAAGATAAAAATGCCAGGGGACCTGAAATAAAGAAGAAAAAACTTTTTTCTTTTCTTTTTTCTTTCAATACGACTGTCTCAGCCTAATGTTGTGCGTCTCTTGGGGTTTTTTTTTCTTAACCTATTGGTGCATGTCCAGTCACTATGTTATTTGAATATCAGCCTTTAAAGTAGATATAAAAGTACTCTACAAAATTTTACCTGTAAGCAAAGGGAAGCAAGCTACAGTCTGATTACTCGCCTTCATCTCTTCTGAACTTAGTTAAGTTTCACTTAACCATGACTATCTGACTACCCATCATCAACCATTATGTCTGATTTCCCCCCTAGCTTTTAAAGGTTACATACTGCAATTATGGCATGCCAGTGGTTAGGATTCAGTTGCTGTCCATTGTACTGCACGAGCTCCTCTAAGGAACAGTAAGTAGTTAGTAGAATGATCACAGATTCACTTAAGTTTAGGGCTGGAAGGGACCTTGTGAGATCATCAGGTCCAAATCAAAATCTGTCACTTCACCAATAACTAGTTCTTGGTGTCTGGCTCGTGCAAACCCTTTGGCAAAGTCAAGCTACCTAGATGAGCTTTAGTTGACCTACGTACATGAAAGAGGGTTTTGTTATCATTACTGCAGACCCTTTCAGAAATGCAGGCTTTGGTAACTAGATTTTTCAAAAATAGAAAAGCTTAGTGGACAAGAACTTTGTCTGGGCAACTTGAAGTCCACCTCAAATGGTACCAAAAGCACATCACACCCAAGACCCAATCTAGTGGCATGGATATACACAAGCAAATTACTGCAAAGTAAAAGAGGGCAGGAATTTTTACTTCAGTCCTTTCATGGTAAGTGCAGCCTAAGATACCACAGACTAGCTTTTAGCTACTACAGTAAGTGTGGATATGGGCCATTAGGGTGGAATAGCAGACATGCTATAATTCCCATGTTTTGCTTACCTTGCAGTAACTTATTTGTGCCCAAGCCATTTTGGCTCCCTAATGCACTTTGGGTAAAAACAGCACTATCCGCAGGTTGGATATGGAAATAATGCTTAGACAATACTAAATCTTTCCACAGGAAGGTGCTGGAAAAGGTATTCGATGACGTTGTATTGGTAGATATCTTGGACAGTGGGGATTCAGCTCACCTAGCGCTAATGAAAAGACCTGAACTGGGTATTACCTTAACAAAACTCCACTGCTGGGAACTGACTCAGTATTCAAAATGTGTATTCATGGATGCAGACACAATGGTAAGTTTGTGTGTGGTGTGTGTTGCAATATGCTTCTGTCTAGCCTTTCCATAATTGGGCCCATAATTTGGTAAATGGTGGCAAAAGTTTAATGACTTGATTGACCCTGTGACAAGGATGTTCCTTATAACTGTCTTATGATATGGGACCTGTGGCGAAAGCTTGTCATGGATTTGAGTACATATGGTATCAAGGTAACTTTGACTTTAAGATGATGCCTCCAAAAGTAGAGACAGTTATATAAAATGTTATAAACCTGTTATGTGTAGAACCCAATTATTGTCTTTAAATTCTTACCACCCCCCACCACCACTACAATCTGGGAAAGTGGCAGTAGAGGCAAACAGTAGCAGGGGATCAGGCAGCAAAGAGTTAAGCAACCTGCCCCTTGCCCTGTCCCCCCTTAAATATCCTCAGTTGCAGCTTTGGCCTGGGCATGAAGCAGATAATGGCTCCAGCCCCTGGCCAGTCAGGCCGCAGTAGTTGTGGCAGTGGCAGCTCTGGCCATGGGTCAGAGTTGGAGCTAGGGCTGGAGCTGCCTTCATCACCACCACCACTACTGTTGCCTGGCTAGGCTGGAGCTGGAGACGCTCTGTGCCCAGGTTAGAGGAGGACCAGAGCCACCACTGTCAGTAACTGGAAGGGGTGTGGGTAGGAAAGGGAACAGTCTGCACAGGGACAGCAGCTGCAACTCAGACTCCAACCCCAAGTGTAGGTTGGGACTGGAGCTGCAGCAGTTGCCTATTCCTCAGCCCCTATCCTGCTTTGTACTCTAATCCAAGACAAGGAGCTATTTTTCCCCGTGTTGAATGGGGAAAAACCTCACATAGGATTTGAGTAAATACAGTATCTTGGGATGACTGGCAACTCCACTAAGATGAAATGCCACAAAATTCTAGCCTAGGAATGATAACAATCTTATTTTTCCTACAACTAGGTCTTGGCAAACATTGATGAGCTTTTTGAGAGAGAGGAGCTATCTGCAGCACCAGATCCAGGCTGGCCTGACTGTTTTAATTCTGGAGTTTTTGTTTATCGACCTTCCATTGAAACATACAATGAGCTGTTACAACTTGCCACAGAGAAGGGTAGCTTTGATGGTATGTACGGACTCTTACTGAAGAACTGTTAAAATGCTATGGGCGGGGAATAGCTCCTTAGCTCTTTGCCCTTCCAATTCTCAACTGTTGGCCTAGTGCACAATTAGAATCTTAAAATACCATTTTTGTTGCCTGTCTTCAGGAAACTTTATTTACACTTAAACAGTCCGACTGATAATACTGGGAATTATCATTAACTTATTAATGTCTGAAGGCCTTGTCACTTTAAGGGCAGTCAGGCAGCTAGCAGGTGCCTGATGGTGGCAGCCATTCTGAGAGCAAGGGTCAGCCCAGGTGGAAACATTGCCTGGCTGAGCTGCAGCAGGAAGGTAAGAGCAGGAGGCTCTTGGTCCTGGGCATGAATTAGAATTGCACCCTGCTGGGGATGGGTAGTCTGGTGGGGCTCCTAGTGGCGCAGGAACCCCCAGGAAATGCTAGGCCACTTACCACCCTGGTGAAAGGTGGGTCAGAGCACCTTAACCCCTAGCCCCCATAATTCGGTGGGTACGAGGGCCAGGCACAGCTATGGCCACCTGAGCCTGCAGGGGAGGAAGACCCCAGAGGCCCCTGGTCGGGGATAGTTGTGTGGCCATGGAGAGGGCAGTTGTGAAGGCCTCAGAGGGCAGGGATGTAGGTGGCCCTGCAGAGAGTAGGGTTGAGCAGGAGTATGCCTGAAGGACTGTGAGAATGGGGCTGAGTAGGGCTGAACTGGGAGTAAGCCTGAAGGGCAGCACAAGGGCCAGCCCCAGGAGTAGTTGATTGTGAGGATAAGACACCCAGGGAGGGGCATGGTGTAGAGGCCCTAGAGTGGGCACAGTGGGGAACCCCATGTGTGGGGAAGAGGCCAAGGTATGTTCATGGATGCCTTAGGCCATAGTTTGGGTGAGAAGCTGGGGGGCAGGGTTCAGCCAGAGAGTTAAGGGCGATTCCTGACCCCAGCAAGTCCTCCACCGCAAGGAGGCAGAGTGTGGGTCAAAAGAAAGACCTAAAGGTTGAGCACAATGACCTGCTGCTCCAGGGAGGGAGTGAGAGTCCCTGTGAGACCCAGGAGCACCAGTTGTGGTGTGTGTGTGTCATCTGCAAGGCTTGTGATGTAGTACAGGGATGGCTGGAGCTGAATACATAGGCCCAGGAGAACAGGGCTGCCAAAGGGCAGCCTCCTACCTGGGTAGTGTAATCATTTTTCCATCAAAGCATGGCAAGCAAGAGAGGCGAGCCGTTAGCCCAGAAATGGAGATGGGCCAACTCCTAATCGGCCCCGGGAAGGCCCCTGTTACAGGCCTATATGGACCTCAGGCAGTTCGTGTACCCTTTTAAAAGCAGGGAAGGTAGATAATCTGCCAAATTAGGTTTAGCAGCCTTTACTAAAAGGATTCTTTCAAGCTCTGCTAGGAGACTGGCTTTCAGATTTCACACCCAACACTGCATCCAGCATCTTAGACAAGCTATTCTCTAATGGGTTACTCCCCTAAAGTTGTACTCCCCTAAAACACTCAGATCAATTGCAGATTGCTTTAGGTATCTATTGCTTGTCCAGAAGCCTGCTAAATCGCTTCAAATGGTTCTCAGCAATAATTTGCACTGAACCCTATTGGAAATGACTATGTACTCTATGGTAACTTGAGTAACCATTCATGTGGTAACACTTATCAGTTTTATGCTTGGGTATTTTAAAACCTTTCCCACTGAATTTGAAAAAGATTGAGATATTAAGGGTGCTACTGAGTTAACAGAAACAGATAAAGTGTTCCTTAAATGTATGGGAAGCAATTTTCAGTCTGGCATTCTGTATCTCTCCTAGTATTACTACAATTGAAGTAAACTAGACCAAGTCTCAAAAAAAAATTTTTTTTAAGTTGTGACTAATACAAAAAACTTTAAGTTCTCACAAGTGTAACAATTCTTACCCTTATCCCTCAACAGCTAACAAGAAATTGTTCACCTGTCTCAGACTGACAATTGAACTCTCAGCTGAAGATAGTCTTATCAAAAGTGCTATTAATCTTCAAGGCAAAATTTCCTAGCTCCTACATTCAAATAGGCACGTTGCTCAAAGTAAAAACTAAACTTAATCTCAACATAGTAAAACTGACCCTTATGTGTGATACTTTAAAACATCAGAATGCCAACTGCTGGTAAGGGAATAACTGGTAGAGGAATACTGTACAGCAAAACTTTTTTTGGTAGCGGTTTTTAGAGTTAGGCTTGCTTCTCAGCTATCAATGCTCCATAACAGTGGAGAAATACTGGTTCAGCTAACATGAGTTAATTTTCAACTAGCTTTTATTTCATCATGGCTTAACTAAGATCAAGACCATTTTACTTTAACTACTACCCATTACTGTATAAATCTGTTGCTGAAGTAGCAGAGTACCTGATGGCCTAAATATAGCTTTGAGCAAGATTTAGCCTTAGAAGCAGTAGAAAAGTTCTGGCATTTTGTTTGAAATAATTCTTAAGGTATTCTTCAGTGCAATCAACAGTAAAGGAATTATCAATGGGCTATGGTACTACACTAGATCTTCTGGATGGAACACAGAATCACATCCTAAGTATATTAAGCCACAAATTCATCTCTATTGCTGTTAATGGAAGTATGGGTGTTTTTAGTTTCTTAAAAGAATTACAAAGTATGCTACAGCATTTTGAAAGCATACTCCTGTGTTTCAGCTTCAGATGGTCTCCCACTAATGAGAGAGATCAACTGGATGTAATAGTCAGCACTTGCTGACTCTCACTAGACAATCTGACTCTAACTACATGCACTTACAAATGGATAAGGCTGAAACTGATGATAAAATGTAAGGTGACAACCATAGGTCTTTATTAAGTCAACTTCCAAAATCACAAGCTGAATGACCCAGCTCTGTCACCTAATTACTGAAACTCCAAACAGACTGACTACTCGTGTCCTATATAGTATATATCTACTGATGATGAGAACCAAAATCATCTTAATTTTAAATGTTGATGAACCTTTCTTCCTTGCAGGGGGAAAGAGCTTACCGTCCCCTTTATGCTTCCCAATCCAAAGAATCTAGTGCCCCAGACAAGTATCTGTTCACCCTGTTCTTGAAAACTTCCAGGGATGGAAAATCCACGGTTTCTCTAGACAGCCTATTCCAATGCTTGACCACCCTAATAGTCAGAAAGTTCCTTCTAATCTCCAAGCTAAATTTCACCTGCTACAGCTTGTAGCCATTGCTCTTAGACCTGTCCCCTACAGTCACAGAGAAAAGGTCATCTCCATCTGCTCTGTATTCACCCTTCAGGTATTTGAAGACTATTATCAAATCCCCCCTCCCTCCCCAACCTTCTCTTCTCCAGGCTAAATTAACCCCAGTTCTTTCAGCGTTTTCTCATAAGTCTAGTCTCCCAGGCCCCTAACCATTGTTTCTGTGCTGGATATTTTCCAAACTGTCTGCATCCTTTAAGAAGTATGGAGCCCAAAACTGGACACAGTAGTCCAGGTGAGGCTTCACTAGTGCTGATTAGAGCAGAAAAATAACTTCAGTTCATTTTCAAGTTATACTTCTATTAATACAGTTCAGCATACTATTTGCTTTTTTATCACAAAGAGCACATTGGCTCATTCAGTTTATGGTCTACTGTAATCCCCAAGTCCTTCTCTGTATAGTGTAGCCTAGCCAGTCATTCTCCAGTCTGTATTTGTGTATGCTTCTGTAAAGAAAATCTACCCCATGGTGTCTCTGATCCTTTTCAAGAGTTGGTCTCTCTGCACAGGCCAGCTAACTTTCTATGCCTCACACAATTTAGTTGGCTCTCCTCTAGGCTAGAACCCTAGCCAGTGGTTCTGCAAGTTGCTCTGAAGTACAACAAGATAAAGAAATTGTCATAATTAAACAATATTATGTTAAAATGGTATTGATATCAAATTCATCTCTGGGGGGGGCGGGCTAGAAATAGCTACTTTCAAGTACTGAAACATAATGGAAGGGGAAGAAGCAGGAGGTACAAAACAACACACAGGACTAGATAGTGAAGAAAACATACCTTTTTCTAAGACTACTCCTATGTGCTTGCTTGCTTGCACATAGGAGGGAAAAATATTTGAACTCATAGTGGAATCTTAGACTGAAAAATTGTAGTTGATTTAAAGCAGGGTAGACAGATCATAGTTCAGGTTTGTCTAACTCGGGCATTAGAATTTAGAGCCAAGATGCCTGGTATTCTGGCAACTAAATTAATAAGCAGGTCAAATCTGGGAACAGACTTCTAGTGTTATAGATGCCTAAATGGCATCAGGGTTTCCCAACTACAGTTACAGTTGCTGATTTTGGCTTGGAAAGCTTTCCCAGGAACAAAGAGCACACACCACCACTAAGCTTCTTTTCATCTTTCAATTATTCCACTTGTCAATTCTAATATATTATTGCGGTAAAATAATAGCTTTATTGGAGGAAAGCTATTGATAAAAACAATACACCATTATCCCTTCAAGATTCCTTTTGGTTCTACCAGTACAAGCTCAATAAGTGAATTTATTCTTTGGTTTCTCAAAGGCAGTTAATATTAACTATAGTAAGGAAAGCTCCCAGCTTGAGTTTGTTCTAATACTTGCTCAGCATTGTGACACATGAATAGGTATCTATGGGTGCATCTACACATGCAGTTACTCCAACTCAAACTCGTACACAGTTCATACTGAAGTCAGCTGCTCCCAGGTGTAGCATCTACATGTGCACCCCAGATCACAACAACTCCAAGCTGGGGCAGAGCAGCCCAGGGGGTTAGTTCCAGGCTCCAGATGGCAGCATCAGGTGACAAAGGAGCTAGCTGGGGCATTAGGATGCTACAGTGCAGGGCTGCCTGGCAGGGCGCACGTGTAAATGGTGATGCTTTACTGAGGAGCTAATTACTTGGCTTCACAGTAAAGCGCATGTGTAGATGCAATTGTACTTCTTCCTCAGTTGATTTTTTTTTAATTGGCCTTGATTCAGAAAAGTTATAGAATTGGCCTAGTGGTAGGGTAGCAGATATAACATTGCTTCATAGATCTCTGTAGGTGGAAGTTGACATGCAATCCCCTCCAACTTAGGCTCTTACTTGGTAGAAGCTAAACAAAAAGGGGTTTCCAAAACTAAGGAGGGAGGGGAATGTTACCTCTCATCTGTCAAATACTTAAAGCTATTTAGTTGACTTGCACATTCTTTCAGAACTTGAATGTTCTCTCTTGAAACTTTGCCTCTAAAAATATGATTTGACCACAAAAGCATAACTTGAATTTGTCTAGTAATATTTCAGGTCTCCTTGCAATTTTCTTTATAATTTGGTGCATCTTCTGGAAACACTTACATTTATTAAACCAAGAAGCCATCTACTGTGGTTCCTGATGTTTTGAATTCAGAGCAGTCTTAAGCGCTCATTCCACGCATGAACTAGAGCATAAAACATTTTAAACTGGATAACTCAATTTGAATGCATTTCATACAATAGATCTCAAATTCTTGTAGAAGCTGGAATTTTGATAACCCAGCAAATTGCCGCCTTAGGAAATGTTTTGTTTTGTTTTTTTTGGAGGAGGGAGGCCAGGAGAGGGAATTGGAACAAGGGAAGCAGTCTTACAGGATTGCTTTGTTTTTAATAGACTCTTGATAAACTAACCCTGGGCTCTTGTTTTTACCACCTTACAATTGGTACGAAGATAACATCAGAAATGAGTCCACTGTATTTGAAGTTCAGAATGCTGCCTACCCTTCTGGAACTAAAAGCAGTACTTAAATCACAAAACTTTTCTATTTTACTTCAGCTGAACTTGAAGCTGAGAATGAAAATGAAGAGAAAACACTGGCAGTTATGACATTAGGATTCCCAAGTCTTGCTACTTGTTGAGAATCAAAATTGCCTAAACAATCTTTCATAGGCTACAAACAGATATTGCATTTGCCTTGGGATAAACCATTTTATCCCAGAACAAAGGGCACCTATATACATGTGTTGGACATCTGCTCCAACATGTGCTACTTGGCACATGTCAGAGCAGACTTGATTACAGGCAGTCCTCAACTTAGAACATTTTGAGTTGCACCATTTCACAATTACGTTTATAAACCGACACCCTGTTTCAATTTTGACGTCGGTTTCAACTTTACAATTCTTGATCTGATGCAACACCGTGCCAGCGAACAAGTTTGCTGTGTCACCCATCTCCCTGGAGAACATCTGTCCAAACTTCCGTGGACACTTTGTTTAAGAAAGCAGCCAAGACTCCAGAAAAGCCTGCAGCCAAGAGCCTTTCAAAGTCAGCAAAGTCACCTCAAATAAGTCCTTCCAAATCAATATGATTGCTATTTACAATATAAATACATTAAACTATATTACTCGTCTATAATTGATTGAGTACAAAATTTTGGGGTATTTTTGGTGAATATAAGGTATCAGGCCTTGATTCAGGAACCAATCCCCCATTTATAACATTGTTTCTTTTGAAAAAGTCGGTTCAGAGTTGCAACGTTTTGACTTAAGACGCAGTTTTCAGAAGCCAATTGTGTCATAAGTCCAAGGACTGCCTGTAATAGTCTACTGGAGTATGTTAAGGAGCTCCAGCTGCTTCCGTGTCATGTCTATTCAGTGTTCCTGTGCTTCAAAATGGTGGTGGGGGCACTTGAACTAAAAGCTTGCCATTTTGAAGTGTGGGATGCTGAATACATGTGGTGCTGCAGGCACTTTAATTAGAGCAGCTCTAGTCTTTTAGAGCTGCTCTAATTAAAGTGCCCATCCCTGGTGCCCATTAAAGTGCTCCACCCTGGAGCATGTGTATAGATGCCCAAAAAGTGCAGTCACTCAGATGTCCATGTTCATTGTCCTAGGATAAATTCTAAAAAGGCTGTCATGATAAGGAGTTCTAGGACTTTGTTCCAGGACACTGCAAAGTATGTCTGAACAGTTGTCCCAGGGTTACATAACTGATTAAATGGCCAAAAAGCAGCAGTGCATTCAGCATCTTTCTAAACCCTGATTTGAGTAGCGTGTACACATGCCTACCCTGGGATAGTTCTGTCCTGGGACAAACACAGGCACAACTTGTCCAATAACAAATGTGGCATACAAGTGGGGAGAGATTCATTAGAAATGTCCATACCATTATGGAAGAAACTTTCAAGTAGCACTTGGAGGCAAAACAGAAAAGGTTTACTGGAAATGCCCAGCTTGTGATTGGGAAGAATTTCACAACTACTTGTAGAAATTCTAAAATGGGAATTTTTGAAGCCTACTAACTATTTCTCTCTCTTCCCTTTTCAGGAGGGGACCAGGGGTTACTAAACACTTTCTTCAGCAGCTGGGCAACAACAGATATCAGCAAGCATCTACCATTTATTTATAACTTGAGCAGTATTTCTATATACTCATACCTCCCAGCATTTAAAGTGTAAGTTCAAAATATTTAAATATATATGTTTTAGCTACTCTATGGGCCAGACCTTATAGAGCTTCCTATGTAGTTAATCTCTTGCTGTATATAACTTAATTCACTGAAACCAGTTCAAAATGGCAATTCAGGGCTTAGGCCAGTTAAGAGACGTGGTGGCAAATGCTCTCTTAGAGCCTGGTTACCACACTTACTCTGTGGTGCATATAAAATTCTATATAAGAATCATGCCTTTGTAATTTACACTAAGATCAGAGCAGAGATGAGCAACTAGTCCTTGACAGTTGTTGGAGGTAGCTGCTATGACAGCACCTTGTAACTAGGAGGTAGAGGAGCAGAAAATAAAACTTGTATATAGCAATTTGCTCCAGGATCACTCTAGACTCACAGCACTTAAAACTGCTGTAGTTCTGACTTTTCCTAGTTTAGGGCTGTAGAATTTCTGTTCCTTGTTAGCATCCCTGGTCCAAGCCCTTAACCAACCAACCTTGTTTTAAACAATGTAATGAACTGTTCTTAGTAAAAGAATAAATCAAAACAAATATAACTGGCATTTACAAGGTTCAGTCTTCTAATGTTGCCTCCGTCAATGGCAGCAACTCTGTCCCATGAGTTAGTATAAGGGCAGTTGACAGGCACTTCTAACTGAGAGCACAACTCTTTACCTCTTGTATTGGTAGTCCATATTGCTCTACCTAGGAGCATTCTTTGGCTGAACTCCAACAGACTTCATCCAAAGTCAATATGGGCTCAGTTTTGTGGTGACTTGCCTTCCCCTCTGACTTCCATGTTCTCAAAACTAAGCAAGGTAGCTGAGGCTGACAGGTGTCTAGAGTATACATTGACACTTTTTAAAGAGAGAAAAAAGCTGAACAAATCATGTTGCATTGCCCTTAATTAAATGGAAGTCTGTTTAATCAGATAATTTCCCCCTCTAATCTTCACTCTACCTTGTATCAGTCTTCCCTGACCTGTAGGGACAGCTGCTTGGAAAACTGGCTTTTATTCTTCTGCCTGCTATAGAAAATGATTGTGCCATTAAGGACCCATTCTCTCCAACTGTAACAGAAGTGGGAGCTTTCCTACCCTGCTTCTATTCTTGAACTAATTCTGTCACCCTGTATAATCTTCAAATGGTTACAAGCTATAATACAACTAGACTATTGGTGCTAACTTCAGAAATAAGTGAAAAGCAATTGCATTTGATACCTAAATGACATCAAGTTATTAGACTAAAGCAGCAGTTCACATTAAGCAAGACCATTGCTGGCTCAGCTTCCAGCTATGTCTTGTGATCAGAACATCTGAAATACTGGCAGTCTAAAATTGGAACACCTATTTTAAGAAGCATATGTAAGCCAGAGATTCTTACTTAAATAGTCAGTATTAAATGGTATTTGTTAAGCTAACAGTTATTGTGATGTGTATACCCTACTTGGCTTCTGATAGGTTGGTCATATGACAGTGAGGGTTTATAATTGACCTTTCTGTTGTTAGTCAGCCGGATTTACTTGGCTCTTGACAACTTCCTTCTTACCAAGTTGACTCAAACTAACTGAGGCTTAACTGAAGCCTTCAGGAAAAGAACGGGCTTCAGACACTAAAAGTAATGCTCCCCCACCCCCCTCCA